CTGGCCTCGGCGTGGGCCCTGGCCACAGGCCGCTGGGTCCGCGAGGCCGCCGGCAGTGGGCTGCCTGCCGCGGAGCCTCCGGCCGCGGCGCTGCTCGCGCTGCTGCCGCCGCCGCCCTGCAGGGGGGCGGCGCTGGCGCAGGACCGAGGCTCGGCGGCGCGCGAGGGGGGGGGAAGGGAGGACGAGGAGGCCCTCTCCTCGGAAGGCGGCGGGGCTCCTGGGAGGCCCTCGCCCCCCTTCCGAGGGGCTCTCCCGGCGTCTTTTTTCGGGGCAGGCCCCGAAGGCTCCTCGGGAGGCCGTGGGGGACGTCCGCCCCTGCTCACGTTCCCCCCGGGGCGCGCCGCCGTGGAGCGGAGTCGACTCATGAGAGCAGGGATGCGGGGGGCAGGTCCGTGGTCGGCTGGCCACGCAAGAAGGACCCTGGGGCCAGGAACGGCCAAACGGACGGCCTGGTGATGCGCCAGCAGCAAGCCTGGCTCCAGAGCAGCACGCCGTGATGACTTTCACCGCTCATGGGAGCCGCGTCTGGTTGGATCCTGGGCCCCCTCGGCTCTCGGGGCGGAGAGAATGCCCCGTTCGCTCCGTCGTGTGACGTACTCCTTGCCCGCCCTGCTGTCCCGATCATACGGCATACGTTGCTCTCGTTGCCTTCATCATTGCCTTTAGGTCGGGCCTGACCGCCTACGAGGGGATTTTGGACTAAAGGTAAAACATACTCAAACATGCCCCCCAAGTAGTCAAAACTAGTAGAAGCATCGTCCCCTGACTATTTCTTGATGATGTTTGAACATTCCCCCTGTAGAGGGGCACGCCCGACTTAGTAGCGCACCGGCAGGCTCTCTACCCGCCCGCGTGCTGGGCCCGCTGCCCTGCCCCGCTCGTGCCCCGCAGTGTCGCTTCCTCGCGGGGGGCACCCGGGATCACGCTCGTGTGTGGCGCTCGGCACCCGCATTGTTGCATGGCTGCTCCACGGCCTCGGTGAGTCGATGCCTCTCCAGTGAAGCAGGCCGCTCATGGTCTTCCTGGCGATACCCAGAGAGAGGATGAGTAGGAGGTGCCCTGGCTCTTGCTCCAGACCGATCGTTTTTCCTGCTGCCCGAATGACTTCCACAGAAAAAGAAAAAGCAGCATAAAAGTAAACTTTCGACTGTCCGCGCGAATTTCTTGGATTCGCGCTGACCCCCCTCCCTGGCGCGCGGAGCGCGCCAGGGGCGGCGCCGGAGGCGCCGCCGGGGGGGCCCCGAGCGGATCCAAGAAGTCCGCGCGGAGCGCCAACAGTTTGTGTTTATGGCGTTTTTTCTCCTTCGATTCAAATTGCGGCAGCACGACAGGAGAACAAATTGAGAGCGGCTTCTAGCTGCCGAGACACCTTGCCATGTGATGCCACGTGCACTGCTGCCACCGCGCGCTAGTGCGCACGAGACTGCCGACGCACCAGAGCGTAAATAGCCCGCATGCCCGCAAGAGAAAATGAACTTGACATGGGGCCTGCCGGCCCAAGGCGGCGCCACCCAATACGCAGGAGATCGTCTAGACCAGGAAAAAACGCCATAAACATAAACTTTGGGCGCTCCGCGCGCATTTCTTGGATCCGCGATGGACCCCCCTTCCTGGCGCGCGGAGCGCGCCAGGGGCGGCGCCGGAGGCGCCGCCAGGGGGGCCCGGCGCGGATCCACGAAATCCGTGCTGAGTGCCAAGTTTATGTGTACGGCGTCTTTTCTTCTTCGATAACTAGCTAACCAGGTGTGTGTGTGTGAGAGCGGACAGCGGTGGTGTTGCCCGAAGCGGTCGCGGCAAATCTAATGGCGCCCGCCGCCCTCACTAGGCCTACGTGCTGGCCGCCTTTGGACGCATCAGCCGCGCGCTAACCAGACAGACCTGCACAACTATCCAATATGCATTGGCGCACATGCTGGGGTCAACTTCTGCATGAACGTGAATGCAAATCTGATCTGTTCGAACGCTCTCGCGTTGCCCGTGCATTCGGAGCTTTTGCTTCGAATCGAGACGCAGCAGTGCCTGGCAGCATGCACTCGTGGCGAGTATTTACACTATGTATGAAGAGGGCCCCTGGCCATAACAGAGCCAAAGCAGATCTGTTGTTGGGATGCTAAAATGGCGCGAGGGAGGAACTCTGGCCCTATGAATTCGGGATAATCGGTCGCACGCCCTGGAAACATCCACCAACACACCGAACGGAACCAGGCTAGCCCCAGCCCCCAGAGCGGTGCCCATGCCGTCGTGGACAAACCTGAAAGACAGATCCGCCACCATATCCGCCACCGTGCCGCTAAGCATGAAGTGGGGCGTCCTCGGGTCCCGTCGGGTTCTTTGTGTTGAACATTGTTAGATATTGTACAAACGACCGAACAACAACAAAAAACAAACCCTGGCCTTACGGAATTCGGGGGCGATCTCTGGATTTGCCGCGCGTGAGTCCCCGAGGCACAGGAAGCGCTCTTAGGGTCGCACAATTGTAGCATGCCTCTACAGAACCCAAGGCCCGCCCTGGAACCATCTTGGGCGCCTCGTCAGCCGTCATGGAGGTCCTGGGGGCTGGCCCCAAAAGCCCAAACCATT